CTTAACCAACCCTTCCCCCTTCTCCCCTTCCCCACTCCCCCCCCCCTCCACGCAATAGGAGAACGGAGCAATATTCCACATTAATCTAGCGCGCCCTAGACCACCCACCGCGACCACCTGTCTGCCTCATTAATCATTCAAGGACAGGTAACGCCGAGGAATTTCCACAGGATTTTCGTTCCCATCAGCACATGTCTGTCAGTGTATTGGTCCTCTCTCTCTCCTGTTACTGCTTTGGGGTCCGGGCTGGTGGTGGCAGTGTGTGTGGTTGCTTCTGGTCTGATACCGGGGGTCTATTTTCTCTCCTTTTTCGATGGTCTGGTGGTCGTAGGTGGGTCTTGTGGTCTGGTAAGGGAGAGTACTTTGTTTAAGGTGTGGTCTTACTTTGGTTGATCTAGAGAGTGGGTCTTTCTTTCTTTTTCGATGGTCTGGTGGTCGTATGTGGGTTTTTGTGGTCTGGTAAGGGAGAGTACGGTCTTTACGGTCTGGTGGTTGAGATTGGTCTGATAGGGGTCTTTTCTCTCCTTTTCGATGGTCTGGTGGTCGTATGTGGGTCTATGGTCTGGTAAGGGAGAGTACTTGGTTTGTGTGGTCTTACTTCGGTCTGGTGGTTGAGATTGGTCTGATATGGGGTCTTTTTCTCTCCCTTTTCGATGGTCTGGTGGTCGTAGGTGGGTCAGTATGGTCTGGTAAGGGAGAGTACTTTGTTTAAGGTGTGGTGTCACTTCGGTCTGGTGGTTGAGATTGGTCTGATACGGGGTCTTTTCTCTCCTTTTTCGATGGTCTGGTGGTCGTATGTGGTCCTTGTGGTCTGGTAAGGGAGAGTACTTTGTTTTGTGTGGTCTCACTTCGGTCTGGTGGTTGAGATTGGTCTGATGATCTAGAGGGTCTTTTCTCTCCTTTTTCGATGGTCTGGTGGTCGTAGTGGTTTTTAAGGTCTGGTAAGGAGAGTACTTTGTTTGTGTGGTCTTACTTCGGTCTGGTGGTTGAGATTGTCTGATACGGGGTCTTTCCTCTCCTTTTTTCGATGGTCTGGTGGTCGTGGTTCCTTGTGGTCTGGTAAGAGGAGAGTACTTTGTTTGTGTGGTCTCACTCGGTCTGGTGGTTGAGATTGGTCTGATCTAGAGAGTGGGTCTTTTCTCTCTTTTCGAATGGTCTGGTGGTCGTAGGTGGGTCAGTATGGTCTGGTAGGGAGAGTATTGTTTAGAGGTGTGTCTCACTGCTGCTTGCTGGTGGTAAATATGCGGTGGAATGGTCTCTGATACAGGTTTTTTTTCTCTCCTTTTTCCGATGGTCTGGTGGTCGTATGTGGGTCCTTGTGGTCTGGGTCAGGGAGAGTACACTGGTTTAAGGTGTGGTCTCACTTCGGTCTGGTGGTTGGATTGGTCTGATCTAGAGACTGGGTCTTTTCTCTCCTTTTCGATGGTCTCGTATGTGGTTCCTTGTGGTCTGGTAGGGAGAGTACTTGATTTGTGTGGTCTCACTTCGGTCTGGTGGTTGCTTCTGTTCTGATCTAGAGAGTGGGTCTTTTCTCTCCTTTTCCGATGGTCTGGTGTCGTAAGGTGGGTCAGTGTGGTCTGGTAAGGGATAGTACTTTTTGTTTGTGCGGTCTCACTTCGGTCTGGTGGTTGAGATTGGTCTGATCTAGAGAATGGTCTTTTCTCTCCTTTTTCGATGGTCTGGTGGTCGTATGTTTCCTTGTGGTCTGGTAAGGAGAGTATTTGTTTGTGTGGTCTCACTTCGGTCTGGTGGTTGGATTGGTCTGATCGGGGTCTATTTTCTTTCTCTTTTTCCGAGGTCTGGTGGTCGTAGGTGGGTCAGTATGGTCTGGTAAGGATAGTACCTTTGTTTGTGTGGTCTCACTTCGGTCTGGTGGTGAGATTGGTCTGATCTAGAGAGTGGTCTTTCTCACCTTTTTCGATGGTCTGCTGGTCGTGTGTGGGTCCTTGTGGTCTGGTAAGGGATAGTACTTTGTATGGTCTTACTTCGGTCTGGTGGTTGAGATTGGTCTGATCTAGAGAGTGGGTCTTTTCTCTCCCTTTTCGATGGTCTGGTGGTCGTATGTGGGTCCTTTTGGTCTGGTAAGGGAGAGTACTAGTTTCAAGTATGGTCTCACTTCGTCTGGTGGTTGCTTCTTGGTCTGATACGGGGTCTTTTCTCTCCCATTTCGATGGTCTGGTGGTCGTAGGTGGTCCTTGTGGTCTGGTAAGGGAGAGTACTTTGTTTAAGGTGTGGTCTTACTTTTTGGTCTGATCTATGAGAGTGGGTCTTTTCTCTCCCTTTTCGATGGTCTGGTGGTCGTGTGTGGTTCCTTGTGGTCTGGTAAGGGAGAGTACTTGGTTTCAAGTGTGGTCTCACTTCGGTCTGGTGGTTTGCTTCTGGTCTGATACGGGGTCTTTTCTCTCCCATTCGATGGTCTGGTGGTCGTAGGTGGTTCCTTGTGGTCTGGTAAGGGAGAGTACTTTGTTCGTGTGGTCTCACTTCGGTCTGGTGGTTGCGA